ATATACATATATGTGTGTGTGTGTGTGTGTGTATATATATATATATATATATATATATATATATATTTATACATACATATATTTTAAGCATTAGATCATTTTGATGATGAAATTAGAATCTTCATATTATCGTAATAATTACATGAGTGCATAACCAAGAAAATAATTTTTGTAAATGAAAATATTATTAAATACTGGTAATTAAAATTTTGCAAAAGTTAAAAGGAGAGACTTGCAGTGAAAAAGATTTGAATTAGGGTCATGATTATGAGATTTATAATTTATAGACACCTAACTGCCTAAGGAGCTATTTGGTTTGTTTATAAAGTAATTTAGTGTCAAATCAATGCAATACAAAAGTGACATATTGTATTTAGAAAGCTTTGGTGTTGTTTGGTTTGGCATAGAATGAATGTAAGATTTCATATATTTTTTTTTGGTTTGGAGTATAATGAAAAAAATGTATTTCAAAGAATGTGAGATCTTACATAAATTATCGACAGTCAGCAGCGGCAGCGTTTGACGATGGACGGTAGCGGCTGGTAGTTGGTGATGGCGGCAACAGGCAGTAACCAAAAACTTCAGTAAAAGACAAGCAGAGGCAATTGGCGGTGGACTGTGGTCAGCGTATTTTGCCGGTAGCTAATGGCAAAGAATAGCGGGTTGGGTTGGCAGTGACAGTGGCGAACAAAAACACTATACACAAAGCTATGTATTTGGAATTCAACCAAATCCAACGAATTTCAAATGCACATAAAATGAACTTAGGAATGAATTCTAAATGCATTTCTATTTTAAGAAAAAAAATTGGAATTTTTTCGATCAAATACCTAGACTTCTAAAACCCACGCAAAAATGATGCAGTGCACTCCTTTTACAGCTTATCCAACACCCCTTACTAATTAAAGATTTTGTTTTTCTTCAAGAGGACATTATTCAAAATTATACAATTAAGATTTTTTTGCCAAACATTTTTAAAAAAAGATTCATAATTTTGTAACAAATAGTTAATATAAATGTTATTAAATTATTTATATTGGTCGCAATTTATTTATAAATACCTTATTTTATTTTTAATCTTTATATAAAAGCCAGAAAAAGAGCCTAATAAATTTTATATAAATCCTTACTCAAATATTATTTTTTAATTTTTTTAAAATATACTAATAGATTATCTGTGGACCAATAACAAACTAATCAATCATGTAATTTAAATAATTATATATCTTCTAGACATGCTGCCAAAAAAAAAAAAAAAACATTTGATCAATTTTAGGTTTTGGCGCACTTGTCAATCTCAAAGCGTAAATGTGTACACTATATATAGATAACAATAAAATACTAAGATATCTAAAAAAACACCAGCTAATTAGCTGGATTAACTATGAATATCTGATGAAGTGCCCAAATTTGCGATCAAAATAATCATAATATCTTCCCTATAAATCTATGAATAAATTGTATTTCTAAACATTGAAGAACTTTAAGAGATGAATTTGATGGAGATAATTTTCAAGTTTGAAGAACACTTCATAATACATATATATATATATATACATGACACTACAAGCATGCACAATATGAAACTTAGGATTTTAGATATGTAAATACATAAGAATTATGTGGTATGCATGCAAATGCCCTCAAATTAGTCACAAAGCATAACAGATCAAGTAAGCAAAATCCATTAGCAAGGAATTAGTATAAGCCAGGAACCAGAAAAACGCAAAACAGATAAAATTTGCAGCTAAGAAAAGCGAAATAAAACCCAAAAAAAAAAGCTTTTTGATGTGGATTGCCTGCATATTGCATTTGAGAACATCAAGAGGAGTAACAGCCGGGTGGGTGATTCCGCAGCTGAGGATGCCTCCAAGGGTGCACGCAGCGTAATACGCCGTCGAATACATCTGGATCTGACCGGGTTCCCTCGGAGCCTGGATCATGAACGGCGCCGGAGAAGAAGACGGCGCCGGTGGAGGGCTCGCATCCGGAAAGCTTGGGGTCCCGGTGAGAAGCCTCGCGTGTCCAAACGACGTCGAATAGAGGAAACTGGGAAGGAGAGATTGGCGAGAGCTTTCCGAGGGAGACATTGGGGCGGCGCTTGTACGTAGGGTGATTTCTAGGGTTTGAGGAAAAGGGGAAGGAAGAAAACGGGCTTCTGGCGGGATCGGGCAAGGAGGAGCGTGTTAGGAGAGATTGTAAGCGGAGATCGAGGAAACGGGGAAGGAAGATGCTCGAACACGATTCTTGGCATCTTGCGTAGGACCGTTGGCAAGTAGGGAGTTTTGAAATACTTGGATTTCGTGTTCCGCAGTCTTTTTTTGAAAACTATAGTTACAAAAAAAAAATGACACATGAATGATATGAAGTAATGAATTAGTCAGTCTGTCACATGTCAGTTTTATTTTCAATATTTTATTCAAGGGCGTTTACATACATATGACCTAAATTTTGTGAAGGAGAGAAGCAAGATTCAATCTTACACCTTGGGTTTACAAAATCCTCAACTTGATTTACCAATCAATCTTAGCAGGAGCCCAAAGAGGATATAATTGATTGAAGAAAGGTTTGGACCCAAGAACCCCAAAACTCTCATACTAAAATGATATCAACATTGAATAACATGAAGGGCAGGATAATGATTGAATGCTACCTGGATCAATCTATGATACAGTTGCATGGAAATGTTTGGATGGACTGAGCCCTCCAATGAGAAAACAAACATAAGTCTAAAGCCATTCACCTTGCCGCATCTGCTTCAAGAATTCCCACCAAAAGAGAATGAGGAAATATGTGAGAGCTTTGGGCTCCGTAGGTTCTTGGATAGGAATGTGTGTGCATCCACAAACCCTTTGTAGTTGGCAGTAACATACTGAGTCTCATTGCTTCATCAATTTTTCAAGTGGTGATTTATGTATCATGATCGATTACTGGAGCACGAAACTCTTGTATCTTATATATTTATTTGATTAGTGTAGATCCTTTGTATTTTCTTCCATCATTTCCCTTATTTTGAGTTTTTTCTTATTTTCATTTCTTATTCTTTGTGTTTTCTCTCTATTTTCTTTTTTTATCGTCCTATTTTCTTGATCATTTTCTTACTTAATTATGTGTTTGTACTCATTGCTTGTACTGGACACTCACTTAAGTTTACACATCGATAGATATGCATGAGTGGGGGTATAGAAATGAACACGGTTATCTAGTTCATGGTTGGGAGAAAATATTGTGTCTGATCGGGCAACAACTCAGCATACACCTCATATGTGTCGCCCAACCAAGAGGATGGTCGCCCAGCCATGCCGAGCTATTGCCCGACCATTGGTCGTCCGCACATGCAGGCAATATTTTCCCCATGGTTAGGGTCCATTTGATCAATTCAAGCTCCAAACATGCTCAAATTTTAATGATTTTGATGTTGATTGAATCATCGTGTTAAGTCGGTAATTAAATTTCCATCATTTGATGTCCACTCTGTTTCCTTTAAAATTTATGAAGCCATATTTTGTTATCGTTTCAATCCTTTTGATTTGATTTATAGTTACCGAAAAGCGTGCATTGCACCAAAATTTGTGCTTGTTCATATGAGAATTTTTATGATCCCAATAACGTGCTTTTATTATTGGGATAATTAGATACGACAAACATTGTTGTTTACAAGTCAAGCGCCTAGGTGATTTTTTGGAGTATGAAATCATGCATTTACATGTGCCGCAATCAAACCATTGTGAATTTGATAAAAATGAAAAAAATGGGTTGGGGTTTTATCGCGACCATAGATATTCGAGTGAGAAATTGAAAACTGAATGAAGGCGAGCGCTTGATTTGTAAATAACAATATTTTGGACGCCCTGTATGTAAGCAAGCGCCCCTTTATTATTTTATGCATTATATGTTGAACGCTTAACCATCTTTATATTGTTTGCATTACCTGGAGCATTAAAATTTTGACTGAGGTGGAATATGAAATATTTGGGGGAAGCGCTCATTTGCTTAGCTTCATGTGCAGGTAAAGTAGATCATTTGTGCACCTTTACTTTTTCATGGTTCACAAAAAGATTGTATTGAAAACTAGAAAACTCATATAAGATTTGAAGGATTTTAGAAATGAATGAAGGTCATGCATGTTGGTTAAGAGTTTTTTTATTTCTCCAGTTCTTAGTTTAGCACATGCTTTCTATATGGAGAAATGTTTGTATCACTATCATCATTATCATAACAACTTCAGGTTGGTTTCATAAATTTTCATCTCTCAATCATTCCTATTTTATGCCAATCATTTTGCAAAATTTGTATCCATGCTATGCTTAGTTTACCGATTTTCTTTTATGCTCTTTCATCACTAATTTGATCTATACTTTTGTTAATCCGTCTTCTATTCTATATGTTATATGTATAAATCTGTCAATTCTATCTTTAACAAGCATGACTTTAGTAGGTGCAACTATAGTTCCTTCAAAATAATTATTCTCAATTAGGGGGGGTGTAAGTGAGCTGAGGGCTGACTCGAGCTCGACTCATCAAAGAGCTTGCAAGTCCGCTTTATCGAAGCATAAATTTTAGCTTGAGCTCAAACTGGAGCTATTTTTATGAAACAACCTCTAGTTTGAGCTCATCAAGGCCCTACTCGTTGGCTCATGAGTCGACACAACTAATTGGATTCTTGTTTTGTCGATGCCTTCTTCGTTGAGTTGCTGCAACACTTTTCCTTCACTTAAGCAATCAATCACTAAGTTTACTTATTCAATGTGGTCTCACGGTAATGTCATTCGAGCTCGTGAGCTAGTTCACAAGCCTCCGAGCTCAATTTAGGCATGACACGAGCTCAACTCAACTCATTTACACCCCTATTCTCAGTCTACTCCTTACTTTTTTTTCACCCATCTTTTTAAATAGTTCATTTTTTTTTTCTCTTTTTGCTAGGTTTAACTTGGGCTTCAACAATGTCGAATTTGAATCTGTTCTGCGAATCACACCTAAGAAATAGAGCATAATGAAAGCTAAAGAAAGAGAAAGTGTGTGTCTTTAAGAAGGAACAAGTAACTTGCTATTTTGGGCTGTTTTAAAGAAGGAACAAGTGACTTGTTTGATGAATAGTTTTTTATGAGAAGTTTTTCATTCTATTTTTTGGGTGTTAAATTTTGAGCTTTTTTTTTTCAAGATTTGAATACATAGAATTGAATCAATTTAGCTAAATGATTGACTTTTGCAGTCGAGATCACTGAAACTCAAACTTATGAATGACTTCTATATAAAGATTTTTGAAAATTGTTATCTTAGAAGAGATTTTAAAGTCGACACGAATTATTTATTTTTATAAAATCCCTAAAATAAAAATAGCTTTAATTTACCAAGACGGGTAGGAGTCAATCTACTCCTATCTATTATATATGAGTGTGGTTTATTTGCTTAGGGTTTAGATTATTGTTTTGAGAAATTTTACTAGCTTGTCCTGGGTGGCTGCTCTCCCTTCTAATATTGTAACAGACAGTGAAGAGGTGCTCCGACTATAACTCGTTCGAGATGATGACTATCTCCAAATGTTTGGGTGTTGCTTCGGCCATGACTCGACTTTGCATAATTATTTATCCTTTTGTAATCCCCTCCACCCGCTCAGTGCCCTCCAATCGGTGCCTCTCACTCT